AAAAAAAAAAGAAACTGTCCAGAAGACCTGACTGAAAAATGTTGGATTGTATACCTGGATTATTGAGCATGGACTTTGTTATTCGGGGAGTCCAGGACTGGTTCTGCAGCCAGGGAATCAGGCTCTGGTGGAGGACTCAGACTGGTTGAGTTTAGGACAACAGATGGTTGGAGGAGCAGCTCCATCCATCTCTTCTCCCGTAACACTCTGTCCAAGAGCTCGTCCATGCCAGTGAAGTCAATCAGCCCAGGGAGAAGTATATATTAATTTAATAGGTCTTCTATGACCACCCACCTTTCCTTCAGATTACTGGAGGTGGTCGTGTCCATATACTTCTGGATCTTGTTGCAGAGTTGAAGATAGTCCTCCTCAGACGTCTAGACAAAAATTGTTTGCCTGCTGGGTTCATTGTTGGTCTTGGCATTCTGTTACGATTGGTGCTGGTGAACCCAGTTGTGCAGGCAAGCAGGCGAGGACTCAGGATATATATACATAAATAAAGGATTTATTAACAAAACCAAAATAGCTGACAGGGCAGCAAAAACAAACACGGGTGGACAGGTGGTACTTACAAAACAGACAGCTCATCAACAGTGAGCAGTAGACAATGCTAGGACAAAGACTAACACAGAGACACAGATTTATATAGAGGGAAACATCAATCAGGCAAAGTGAAGGCACCTGTGAGTGATCACAGATGCCAGGAGACAGAGACAGAAGACGCAGGACATAAACACGACACAAGATGGGGCTGGACACAAAAGACAAAACAGAGAATCAGGGAAACACAGACATGAACACAACACCAAGGAAAAACCACAACTCCTACAGTTTTAAGCCTAGTCTTAAAACTGGACAATGTGTCAGATTTACGGACAGAAACTGGAAGTTGGTTCCACAAGAGAGGAGTCTGATAACAGAAAGAATCTTCCTCCCATTCTGCTTTTGGAACCGCTAGGAACCGCGAGTAAACCTGCAGTCTGAGACCGAAGTGCTCTGTTAGGAAAATATGGAACAATAAGATCTGTAATATAAGATGGACCTAAGTTGTTGAGAGCTTTGTATGTTAGTAAAATCATCCATCCATTATCTTTACCCGCTTATTCCATTTTGGGTCACAGGGGTCGCCAGTGCCCATGTCCAGCAATCACTGTGCGAGGGGCGGGGTACACCCTGGACGGGTCGCAAGTCCATCACAGGGCCACATAGAGACAAACAAGACAAACAACCATTCACTCTCTCACTCACACCTAGGGACAATTTAGAGTTACCAATCAGCCTAACATGCATGTTTTTAGTCTGTGGGAGGAAACTGGAGCACCCGGAGAAAACCCACGCATGCACGGAGAGAACATGCAAACTCCACCCAGAAAGGCCCCTGGACTGGGGTTTGAACCAAGGACCTGCTCGCTGAGAGGCAGCAGCTCTACCAGTGGCGCCACTGTGCTGCCCATGTTAGTAATATTTTGAATTCAATTCTGGATTTGACAAGGAGCCAATGGAGAGAAGCTAAAACTGGAGATATGATCTCTCCTACTAACTCCAGTTAAGACTCTGGCAGCAGCATTTTGGATCAACTGAAGACGTTTTAAAGAAGTATTTGGACCCCCAGATAATAAACCATTGCAATAGTCCAGTCTAGACGTGACAAATGCATGTAAATTCTCAAAATACTTCAAAAATATCTAAGAAAACATTATCTCTAATGTAACCAGCAGACAAAAGAGGCAATGACGAAGTTTAAAATAAACACCATGAAAATATTTAGCATGTTAACTAGCGTTAGTTAGCTTAGTGGTCAGCACAAGATGGCGTCCATTTATAAGCCTTAAAATATTTACACTTCCAAAATGAACATAATTGATCATTAAGAAAACGTTTGGTTTATATCAGTGGTTTATGGCTCTATAAAAACAACAGAGTGGTTAAATCTGCTACAACTAGTAAATAGTACTATTTTCTGTTTTAAACTCTGCTATATGCTGTAAAGTTGGTATTCTTGTGTGTTATATATTTATATATATATACATACACACACACACATACA